GGTGCGCGGAACACACGCGCCTTATAGAAAAACCCTCTTAAAAAAAAAAAAAAAAAGAAATCTGGTCTTGAAGTGTAGACGGCATAGTGCTAGTCTCGCTTTTGAAATCCAGCTGGACAATCTGTGTCTTTTCATCGGCTGTTTCCTGGTGGGGGCGGGGGGTGGCTGGGTTTGAACCGACCGTCTCCCTGTTTGTTTCTGTCTGTGCCGTTCCTGGTCTCCTTTCTCCTGCCCCGTCCTGGGTGAGAGCACCCCCCGGGGCCACGGTCATGCAGCAGTTTCCTGTATCCGCCCTCCCGGCAGGGTTTTGGGCAGGCTGTACTTGGCCTGGTGTGTGGTTGCAGTGGATCGCCACGTGCCAGGCGTGCCAGGCCAGCCTGCCACCCCTTACTTCTCTTTCTGGGCCCCTTCCTGCTCTCCTCGTGGGATCGCATCGCATGACAGACCAGCTGGTACCGTACCACAGTCCCCGAAGCTCTGCTCGTTTAAAGAGTTTCTTATTTAGGGGCCAGCAGGTGGCTTAATGGTTACCTTACTGCACTCCCGGGTAGACCATGGTTTGAGTCCTAGACTCCCGGCTTAAAACTCGTGCCGGGAGCGTGTGTATGAGTGCCTAAAGTCCCAAGAGGAGACTAGAGAAGAGACTGTGGTGCGGCCAGCTCCCCTGCACTGGGCGGGGGGTCGATTTCTCACGGTCTGTCTGTCCCCTCTGTCTCCGGCAAGTGCATGTGCCCTATAGCGAAAGAAAGGAAAGAAAGAAAGAAAGAAAGAAAGAAAGAAAGAAAGAAAGAAAGAAAGAAAGAAAGAAAGAAAGAGAGAAAGAGTTTTTTGAAAGAAAGAAAGAAAGAAAGAAAGAAAGAAAGAAAGAAAGAAAGAAAGAAAAGAAAGAAAGAAAGAAAGAAAGAAGAAAGAGAGAAAGAGAAAGAAAGAGAGTTCTCCATTCAGCCTGTTTGGGCCATTCCTGTTCTACGTCACTGTCATCACTGTCCCTGTGTCTGAGGCGTCGAGCCGCTGCCCTGCCTGTCCAGCGCGGTCCTCAGCTCAGAGGGTTCCATGAGCGCTCCCAACCTAGACTCGTGGTTCCCCGAAGCCCTCGAGCACATCAGGCAGGTGGGGGCGGCCGTGGCGCGGTGCCTGCGAGTCGGCTGTCTTCTCCCACGTGGGCTCAGGGGTCCTCCCTCCCGGCATACCTAGTCATCTAGTCATTTTTTATTAGATCCTAGATACTAAAATGCATGCTCTGTCCCTTGAGTTCATTGACTTCTTTTAATTTTTAAATTTCCCAGAAGGCCTGCATGCTTGCTGGAGAGATGCAGAGAGAGGGAGAGAAGGGAGAGTGAGAAATCACCCCCTGGGGGACGGTCACACCACAGTCCTTCTCCACCCTCCTGTTGGGATTTCGGGCACACGTGCACATGCACTGGGCCGCGTTTCTCAGGCCGCGGGTCTGGGACGTGAACCGCGCCGTCACCACGTCGGGTCCAGCGCGCTCACAACCATGCCCTCACTGGCCCTGCTGTCTTCTACAGACCAGGGATTTGGTTTTGCCGGCAGCTGGAGGCACGTAAGCGTCAGTTTGCTCCTTTCGGTGGGGCTCGGTGTGGAGCCTGCATGGCAGGGCTGGTTCAGGGCACCCAGCTCAGCCTTCCCTCTGCACCGTGGCCCGCTGGGGCCCAAGCACCTCCGTGCCCAGAGACGTCCCCTCTGCTTGGCTGGAAGCCAAATGGCTCCAGCTGCACGTGCCCTGTGAAGGCTCAGCATTCGGCCCCCAGCTCCGGGCTCGTTCTCCGGGGCCTCCCGGGGACCGCCAGGGGCCGCCTGGTCTGTGTGCGGCAGCTCTGCTACCTGGTGCAGCAGGCTGCAGGGCCTCGGCCTCTCAGTCAGTAGGGCTCCTCCGCCTTGGCCCATGCCCTCCCACAGGAAGCTGCAGCGGTGGCGGGCTTGCTGTGGCTGTGGTTTCTGCCCTCAGCCACCTTCCACAGAGCACCCCTGGGGCCAGTCACCCAATGGCTGAGTGCCCACTAAGTCTGACCCTACTCCTCCTGGGGACAGAAGTCCCCACCCCTGTCCCATGTGCGCGTGCGCCTGTGTGTTCATTGTGGTGGTTGCTTTTCATTAGACAGGGTCACACCATGTGTCACCCAGGCCAGGGAGGTGCCCATGCCCAGTGCCTTAGGGTGGCCCTGGGGGCCTGGCTCCCGTGTGGCCTC